CTCTGGTTTGTACCCCAGTTCTGTATGCAGAAATAAATAAATCTTTTTTTTTAAAAAAAAAAAAAGAAAACTAGCCATTTGGAAGTGTTTTGTTTTTTTTGTGAGCACAACCAGAAGGACTTCTTTAAGAATAGATGTGCATCTAGGTTTCAGAGTGAATGTTGGACGCAGAGGCAGACAGTGGAAACCTATGACTAATATTAAAATAATATTCACAGACAGTTGTCATGGCAGCCTGCTCATTTTGCACAAAATAGAACCCACTGAATTTTAACAGAATTTAGCAGAGGAAGGCTGCAGGTAGCCTCTAACTGAGTTACGCAACATCCTGATTGGTTTTGATATTATTATTGAACGTAGCCTTCAAACTATACCCTAGCTGCATCCTCCCAAATCACAAATATTTAAAATCATTAACAAAAACACATAGTAAGACCTGCACCACTCTTGAATCCTTCCTGTCAGAGTATGAGGAACAGCTTAGAGGCAAGCACCACTGTGCACAGTAGAATCCACCTGTAAGCCTAAAGACAGTACGTGTTAGGGAAACTGAGGGAGCGGCCAGTTTCAATTCCTTCACCAACTAACAGGGACTGGATGTTGCCCTCAGACATTTCTTTCAAAGTAGGGTTCTTTAGGAGTGGAGAGTAGCCAAATTGTCCCAGAGAAAGTTACACAGTCCCCGGGGAGTGACTTTAGGAGCCAGAAGCTTCTCAAGACATATGAAGGAGAGGCGATCTATTTCTCTCTTGTGTGGCTACCTCTATAAAATCTAAGCTCAATGAATGGGACAGTGATTCTGGAAATTCTAGACAGCTGGCATCAAAAGGAATACCACGTGAGTCCATCTCTACCATTACACATGCTTTTGCATATCGCCCTGCCCCCCACCTGTCTTCTCTTCTTTTGAGTTTCCACTTTAAGAGACAGGAGGTAGGGTCTAATTAAAATTCAATAGCATCCCAAGTTAGGAAACCACATCCAGTCATTATCATCCATTGGAACATTATGCTTCCATTGGACCAAATTAATCTTTCAGGCTAATTAACATTTTTCAGCTGCCGAAGATGGGGTGGCGTCTCATACTTTTTAAAAAAATAAACTCCCACAATGCCCAACACAGTGCTCCTAGAAGAACTGCAGGCATGTGATAATAAACAACTTCACATAGGGGGCTAGAACTCAGGGCAGTAGCTGATGGGTAGATTAAAGACACTGTTGAAATGATACGAAGTTAGGCAAGGGCGAGAGATGTAGAAAGGCTGAATCAGCAGGGGTTGCATTTGCCCTCATGTAACTAAACCCCCACTAAACAGGAGAATTTACAATTAGGGGTTTATTTTTCACATATAACAGGGAACCTGGAAGTAGGAAACCCAGTGCTGAGATGCCAGGTGTTATCTTTCTTTCATCCAAGCCATATGGATGTCAACTCACGGTCAACAATGGCTGTTCCACCTCCAGCATCAATCACATCTGCATTAGGGACAGAACTAAAGAACTAAAGGTAAGGGCCCTCCCAGGTGGCACAACCGGTAAAAGTGCAGCACTATGAAGTTCTCTGCAAGCACTGCAGCACAAGTTCGACCCCCGGCCAGGGAGGTCACTCACTCACATGGCACAGCAGATCTCTCCTGGCTCTCCTGCTGCTCCCCTCAGCAGTGTATCTCAAGTCAATCTGCCAGTTCTGCTCCCCCCTGTCTCTGCTGAATCCTCTCACTGTTGTACCTCTAGCCTGTATCCCAGTTCTTGTATGCATAAAGAAATAAATCTTTAAAAAAAAAAAAAAAAAGATAAAATGGAGCAGACCACTTGAGTAGTTCCTTTGAAAGAAAAGGTTTTGGAAGCCACCACCTCTGTGCAGCTCATAGGCTAGAACTGCGTCACAGTCCCTCCCCGCTGCCGGGGAGTCATATTGCTAAGGCAAAGAGCAGCGCAAAGGTTCAACGCCACTTACGGGGCAGACGGCCTGGGCGGAAAGCCCTGCTCCTTTCATTGACCAGCTGTGTGACCTAGTCAAGTTACTTAATTGCTCTGTGCCTGGGTTTTCTCATCTGTAAACTAAGCACAGTAACAGTACCTTTCTCACAGGCTTCCTGTGAAGATTAAAAGAGTTAATATGAAGACAGAGTTTAGAATAATCTCTCATACATAGCAACCATTATACAAAAATTTATTCTACTTATTTTTATTACTAAGGAAAGACGAATGGACATTGGGTACGCAACTAGCAGTTGCTGCCTCAGACTATAACTTTACGCGTCCTGATTATTGTGCTGCATGTGAGCCAGTGCCCAGTGCCAGTGGCGCACAGCTGACTCCCCAGGAAACTGGGAACCCAAACCCTGCCCCTGTCAGAAGTGGCTTTGGTCATGACCTTTCTCCCCATTTACTGGCAACTGAGGGCAACCAAAACCTCCAAGTGTTCGAGCCAGGGCACCCACGCCAGCCCCGGTGCTGATGCCTATGCATTTTAGACACGAATCATTAGGACCCCTGGCTTCTAGGTCCCGTCACTGGCTGGAGTTGCTAACTCAGAGGAGGCAGCAGTGGGTGTCTTTGCTGGTGCAGCCCCAAGTGAAATGTAGCCATTATTCCTGGCTCTGGAGTCTCCAAAGACCTTAGGGAATTCCCGTGAGCCACTGAATATCCTTTAATAAACTCACCTTCTTCAACTAGCAACAAAGCTAAGTCAACTTAAGTGATGTTATACTTTGCTAACAAACAATGTATACTTTAAGTGACTTAGAATAAGGCGAGATTCTTTCTGCACTCCTCTTCCTTGGCCAGAGCCGACTGGCTACAGTTCTAGAACACATGCTAAGACTCAGGCCGAGCTCCCTCTGGGACACTGCTATTCTCAGAGCAAAAGGGAAAGACGCTGAAAATCTCCAACCACAAGCTGGCTCTTCACTCTTTGACTTGGAACTTTTACCCACATCCAGTTGCACAAAGCAAATCACTCAGTCAAGCCTATCAGGAGGGTAGAAACATCCTACGTGGGAAAAAGCAGTGAAAATTCTGAACAAGCGCGTTGCTGCAGTAAGCAAGGAAGAACCCTGTCGATACAAGGTAATGGAGGAAAGCAGACCCTCCAGTTTCTGCATTACATCATGTTCAAGCCCAAAGTGAACAGGAAAGCATCTCTTCTTGGGAGTTCAAGCAAAAGCCCCAGGATTAACTCCAGATGTGTGTTCTTCCTGAGGCCCTATTTCAGGGTGGACAACAGGGAGAGCTGGCTCGGATAGACTGCAGTGCTGCCACCGAACAATCAAAGCACAAACAAGCGATAAACATAACCACAGAGCTTGAGATGGGAAGAGAGAGAGGAATGTGCCCAATTATAATAAGGTAGGTGGGTGAAAAGCAACAGAGCCATTCCAGTGGGCTACTTTCAAATACATGTCTTGAACATGATGAGCTGCAAAGAGAGGAAATAAGATGAGTTCGGAAATACTAAGGTAATGACTCACTCTTCTCAGTAAATACTTGAGTATTCACTGAATGACAGAGGATAATTGTTTCTAAATAAAACCTGGTAAATTGAGCTTCTCAAGTCAACTCAGTGTGGGGGGCTGTGGTTGTTCTGGTTGAGTTACTCCCCATCAGAGAGGCCAAATACTGAGGAAGGCACACCAAACATCTCAGAGACCTCAAAAAGTCTGAGTGACCTCTAGCCTCAATTTACTAGTTTATGTATTTGTCTTATAACTGTTCAGTTGCTTCTAGGCACACCTGAGGGGTGACAGGCCTCACAGATCTGACTGAACAGACCAAAATGTCATGACACTGGTGGTTTCAAGGTGAAAGTCACCAACAATTCTTTCTGGTAGGTTCTTGGTTCCTGCTTTTGAAAAATTACAAAAGATAAAATGTTAACTATTTCCTCACTGGCCTGCAGGCAAAATAGCATATGAGACTAGCAACACTCTAATGGGAATAATACTTGGCCTTTGGGGACATGGGTCTGCAAAAATCACTTAAATATAAGACTGAGTATGAACCCAGTCGGGGCACTCATCAGCAAATTAGGCTCCGTCAAGGCATTCAAACTCTTAGGCTTCAACTTCTTCACCTGAAAAATGGAGACAGTAATATGCCACCTTGTTGGAATGTACATGAAAGTGCTTCGTAACCCATAAGGCACTTGACTAAAGAAAGCAATGGTGACTATACCTTGAGGGCAGCAGGAAGTGGAACTCCTAGCCCTCTTTGTGAGAATGGGAAAAAAAGGTAACAGGCACGCGTTTTGCTAAAGGCAAAAACCTGCACTGTGTGCATCAGAAGTACACCAGCCTCTGTTCTACCTGGAGTGTACCTGTGGGAACGAGGCCAAAGCTTGACTTGAGAAAACCACCCTTACAGGAAGAGCAGACTGAAAGCTGGAAGGAGAGCAAAGGCTTCCCTAGAGACACAAATCAAACTGAACTGCTGAGTACAACTCTTGGCCCAATTCTTGGCCGTCCTGGTTTGAACTGACAGGGGTTTAGAAACATTTTTACTGGCCTTCCTGGGGTCACTGTGGCTCACTGACTAGCCAGAAACACGGAGCTTTCAGAATTCATCCTCCGCTGGTGGCAGTCCACTCAAGATCATCTCGTGGCTCACGATCTAAGCATCAAGTACTCAAGAGGCCTCTTGAAATGTATCAACAGAAGGGCATTCTGGAGGGGCTCCTTGATGAATATTACAGGGAGCTACCCAGGACATGGAAACCCTGGTACTAAAAAACCTAAGCACCAGTTGCAGGCCTGCCTCTACTTCCGTGAAAACTTACTTGACAGATAACTGCTTCCATTTTATCACCTGGAAAGTGTGGATAACTCATAACTGAGGGGGGAACATGGGGGTGTCTAGTCCAAATGACCAGTCTCACATAGGAGGACACTGAGGCTTGGGAGGTGAGTTGCTAGCTCAAGCGCACAAAGCCAGTGAATGGCCAAGACAGAATCCCATAGTGCCCCCGACCCCCACCCCAGATTCGTGCACCTTCCACCCACCTGTTTCTTCCACGTGCCTTCCCAGGAAGACAGGAGCTGGCTAAAGGGGTGGCTTTCCGTCTCATGATTTCATCGTCCTGCCAGCCTCAGAGGAAGATGCCAGGGAAAAGACAGCTGCAGCCTTCTAGTCACATCTAACTGGGTGCTTCACGATGCTCCCCAAATGGTTTCAAGTGGGGTTTCAAGCTAAAGGGCAGCGAGCAATCCTGGAAAGGCAAAGGCCCACCCAAAGCCGGGGAAGGCAAGTGACACTGACAAAGAAAACCAAGAAGGGAGACCACACGGGAGGGAGTCCTTGTAGTGCAGGGTGCGGGCGCAGCCCTACTCGGAGCAGCAGGCCCATGCGCGGCCACCTTCGCCTACGCAGGCCACACTGGCCGGCTCGGAATTCTTGGTAACTTTGAACAAGGGACCTGGAACTTACGTTTTGTACTGGGCCCCTGAAGTCTTGTGGCGGGTCATGCTCCACCCACTCACCCTCCCCAGCCATAAAGGGGTGACCTGTCCACCCCGCCGTCCCTAACCGCACCCCAGTCCCAGGCCCACAAAAGCCCGCCACATTTCGCCCCTCTCACGCTTGGGGAGATAAAGCGCGCCCTGGAAAAGGTCAGGGGAGCCATCAGGGCCACATCCTCTGGCAAGAGGCGACTGACCGTCGGCCTCGGGCAACCGTGAGGAGATAAAAACCAACGCGAAAGCGGCCCCCCACAGGCCCGCTAACCCCTGACGGCCCGAAGCCCTGCCTGCTCCCAAGGGTGCTTCCCGCAAGCCCCGCTCCGGACTCCAGGCTCCGCCGCAGGTCACCAGGGGCGACCCGGCTCAGTCCCCGCCCGGGGAAGGGTGAAGGAGGGGCTTCAGAAGCTGCCAGAAGGGGCCGCTCGAAGGTCCGCTTCCGCCCGCCCAGTCAGCCTTGCCGACGCCCCGACTGAGGCAAAGTTTGGGAACCGGTGGTAAGCGGCATGGCGGCCTCCGCTAGGAGCGTGACCCGGGCCGGGCTCCCCACTGGGCTCTGAAGCGACGCGTTAAGCGAGCGGGCACTGCGAACCGCTCAAAGCCGGGCGCCCCTCAGGCCGCCGCGAGCACCGCGCCCCGCCGCGAGCGGAGTAGCCAAGGCGGGGTGGGACTATGCTGAGGGGGCGGGGCTGCGGCGGAGACGCTGTTGCTGACATAGCACTTTGAATAAAATCACTACGCCGCACCTTGTGCGAGGGTTCCATAGTGTAGTGGTTATCACGTCTGCTTTACACGCAGAAGGTCCTGGGTTCGAGCCCCAGTGGAACCAAAGCTGGCAAGTTGCGTTTTCGTTTTCCCCTGTCCCTTTGCCCATCAGGGTACACAAAATGGAAAATAAGGATAAGTTTTATTTCTCCTTAATAAAAAGAAGACAGATATATGACAGATATTATCTCCTTCCTGCAGTTGCACCACCAGGAAAAACAACCAGAGTCCTCCAAGCTTTGTAATTCAATGACTCGATGGGGTGCCGCCTGGACCCTAGTGCTAAGTCTCCTCTCATACTGGCAATCTTTTTAAAGGTTTATTAGTAGTGATTTAAAATCTCATTAAACCCTAAATACAGAACACAGGGGGGCGGAAACCAAACCTAATAAAACATTCCCAAATGGAAAAAGCAGAAATGATATGATAAACGCACACAGCAAAAGCAGAAATGGTAAACGCATAACCTGTAGCATAAACGCATAACCTGTAGCAGAGGTTACCAGGGCTCTCTGCAGCTTGGGGTGGCCCTGCTTCTAGAATGGCTGCCTGAAAAACAAAGACTTAGCACTATTCTCACTTTCTGGAACCCTGAGAGCGGAGGTGGGATCCTGGTGGTCAAAAACTAAAACTGAAAGGGAGAGCTCAGTATTTTTCTCTGCATTTTCCCACACCGTTCTGCTTATAGTTATACGTTTGCATCCTTAACTAACTTGAATATAACACGATCGTCCCTGTTGCTACAATCACTTCATTAACTTCATTTTTTTTAGCCCTCTTAACTGTTTTTAACAATACAGTTCAGTGCTGTTAAGTATATTCACATTGCTGTGAAAGAGCTATAGAGTATAGCTATAAAGTATAGAGTAGAAAGACACTCCATACTCAAAACAACTCCCCTCCACACATCAACTTGTATTAATAACTGTATATTAACAATAGCTAATGATGTCAATCATTGTTCTAATTATTTTATTTATTTATAATATTCTATGTCTATTTAAGCCTAGGTATAATTATATTGAACTAGACATAATTATCACCTTCTTATAGAAGAGAAAATTGAGACCCAGACACTTTCCTTAAGTCAATTGCCCAGGCTCATTTGCATGCAATCTGGTTTGAGAATCTGTGCTTTTAACACTGCTTGCTGCATTGAGCCCCTAAGCTTGACTGTGAAGATTGTTCCAAAGCTTGTATTCTTGCATGTAACATGACAATATACATCTTTGTGTGACTGCTCCTCCCTCCCAAAGTTAGTATTTGACTGAATGAATAGGTATGACCATGATGCCACTTGCTTTCTAAGACCAGACCCATGTCATTTTCATAGAATTCCACAATGTTAGTGCTTGCTTGGTAGGGTATTGCTCAAGGTCACTCCCTCGAAAATAATGGCAGGGAAAGAATTGAGACCTGGGTCTTTTAATTTTAATTTCTGTTTCCCTCCACTGCTTCCCTTCCATTTAAAGGTTGAATAAAGAGGGGTCTTTCTTTGGTAAATCAATCTCAGATGACAGCAGCTTCTGCTCTCAGACTTCCTTATTGGGGCAGCTAACTATGTGGGTTAACTTGGTGGGGCTCAGCCAAAGCCCTTAGAATTAAGATGCTTATGAGGCCCGTGCTCAAGTTAAGCTTCTGCTCCTGGGGAAGCTCTCCACTTCCATGAGGCCAAGGACAGGAGAGAATGCTCCCCAAGAGAGAAGGCCTCCTGCTTTTACTGCTGTTTGGCTACGAAGGTATGTGCTGTCTAGCTATTAGCATCCATTAAATACTTAATAACAGAATGGACTGGACAATATTGCAATCCAAATTGATAATAAATGCAGCCCGAATAATTAAAATATCATCCATTAGCAAGGCATGTTAATAACGCATGGATGTTATTAGTGAGCTACAGTTGTCTGTGTGGTTGCGGTCTCTGTTGTCACTGGCTTTCTGGGTCTGCGAGGAGCCTCCTACAGTACAAAGATGCTTAAAATAGGACAGAAGGGAAGAAGGGATTTGGGAATTATATAAATAGCTATCAATTACAGCAGTGAATAAGAGTGTGGCATTTTCTTGAACATTTTTAGGACTCAAAGTTAGAGTGATTGTAGAATTGAATCTTCCAAGTCAGAGCACTATTGGGAGTGGAAAAAGATGCTATTAATAATTCTGCTGGGATAACAGGTGTGTAAGCCAGGACTGCCCCAGGCAAATCTGGATGTGGGGTTACCCTAGTTTAAATACGGATTAACATAACAAACGAATACCACTGAACTCTAATAGAAAGTATAATCCAGCTGAGAAGTAAGACCCCCCTGAGGACTTGGTCGTTTTAAATTTCTGAGTATGGCCCTGGCAGGAATGGGATGCTTAACTATGGAAAACTTAAAGGCAAAGCTCTAAAATGTCATGCAATCCAACTCTCAAATTTTCTCTCAGCCTTTGAAATAATTTTCCTTCATTCCTTTTTTATCTCTCAATGATATGCCCCATAACGAAGAATTCCTTTTAAGGTTCATTCTGGACATTCGAAATAAATTGGCTGGATGTCTTCTTGTAGTCATTGTATTTTATGGGTTACAGGGCGTAAATAAGGAAGTCGAGAAGAAAGAACCTCTCTGCTCTGCATATGGTCTGGTAGACAGACACGATGAAACTCCGAGCTGAGTCAGACTTACTAGTTTAAGGCATTCTCCCTCTACGCTCTCATTGCATTTTATCGATAGAGGACTCACTTCCATGAGTCCATGATCTCCTGACTTTATCTAGTTACATTTCTCAGTATTTGGAAAGACCTGTAAAAATATAATCCCAAGGACACTTTGCAAACACAATATATTTCTAAATAGGAATCATTTAGACTCTCTCTTCCCCTTTGCAAATAAGAATCTGCAACGTGACCCAGAAACTCTCCTAATACTTTGAGATGCTTAGAGGGTTTTGTTGTTTTCCCTTTACAAGAAAATCTAAACAGAGCCTCTAAACTTAAATCCAAATACCTTGGTTCTCATATATGACCGAGCTCACCCTCAGATCTCTCTTCTTTATGATCAGCATTGAGATCCATCCATCCATCCATCCATCCACTTGTCAGTTTGTTCAAAAATCCATCCCTGAGTTCCTGCTGCTATGGGCCAAATGTTGTATAACGACTTGACATGCGGGGCAGATACTTGCTGCTTTCATAGCACTGAGTCACAACCCTTCTGAGACGCACCCCGTCCAGTGGGAAGAAGCCCTATAAAAGTTTACCAACACATTTTTAACTTAGACCTGTGCCATCAGGGAATATACATAATCAAAGACACACTGTCAGGAGTCAGGGAGTCTGGGATTCTTTCTTGTTCTATAGCTTACCAATGTTTGTGCATGACTAGGGAGCACCAGAAATTTCCACAAAGAGCAGGGACTCCCATCTGTCTAGGCAGAACGGAATGTAGCCCAAGGTGTACGCTTGAGCATCTTAAATTCTCTTAGCATCTCACTCAGGCCCTCCACCCTCCTGTGGCCTGAAAGAAGAGTAGCCAGCTGCCAAGTGGCCCGTGCTCTGCCCTGCACTAGAGAGAGGCTAGAGCCGTGCTCCAGGAGACAGAGACACAATCTGACACCAATCAGGACATGACCGCTGCACTCAGTCACTTCACAATCCAGATGGAGAAATAACCCTCGGGGAAAGTTGCATTCCACGGCACAAGTGGGAACCTGGCAGCCAAGATTCTCTGTCTAATTTACTTTGTTGTTTTGTTCCCTGGTGGCGGTGGCTCCTTATTACAGAGAAATAAGGTAAATGGATTGCCTTCGCCACTGTGCTGGATGCAGGTTCATTTGGGAATGCACAAATCAGCACAATCAAGCACTGCTGGCGTCCTGTGACGGAGGCAGGCTTCTATTATCTTGTGTCCGAAAGTGGGGTTCAGTGCCAGTGAGAATTTCAAAAACATTTATCTTACTGAATTGCATCAGTTCATTACTTGGTCAGGGTTATTTTACATATATGTAAAGATGCCCCCTCCATGTTACAGGTGAGTTTGTCCACTCTGCCGATATATTAACCATCCAGGACAGTGAATTTTTTCTGCAGCAGCTTGGTTGAGATGCAATTTACATACCATTAAATTCACCCATCTAAAACATGTAATTCATTTTCTGTCTGTTTACAGACTTGAAGTTGTGAGCACACAATTTCATTTTGGAACATTTACATCAGCCCCCAAAGCCCCCAGACATGAGCACTCACTCCCATTTCTCTCTCCCCCAGTCTCCGGCAGCCACCTGTCTACTTTCTGTCTGAATAAATCTGTCTCTTCTGGACATTTCGCCTA